TATATATTTCCCATTTTTGCACTTATTTGTGTTGATAATCCTCTTAATGCAAGAATAAAACAAAGTGAAACAATAATATTCCCAACTGAAACAAAATTGTTTATAATCTTCATATAATTAAACACTTCTTCTTCAATACTAGAACTTGTGTTCATTTATTTAGATTGTTATTATCTATTTTTTTTGTTCTCTTTAAATACTCTTCTCTTCTTTAGATTCTTTCTCTTTTCATCTAATGAATTTCAATTGAAATCGAATTCATTCATTTATATCATTTCGAATATCGTATATATCGAATATCTTTCCTTTATTTCTATAAATATCTCTGTAAAAAATCTTTAAAACTTCCTTTTTTTTGAATAGTTTAACCTTATCTGTTCTCATTTCATCTTAAATTCAATTTTTTAACGACCTCTTGTTATTAATAACTATCCTAATTATTCCTTCAAAACTTTATTTTTTAATTCTTATCATGAATCTATTCTTAACAAATTCCATTGAACTTTCACTTTTTTTCTTTCTATTTGTTTTTTTCATTGAAATTTATATTTCCATTAAATAATTTCATCCCTTTTTCTTATTCTTTGTTTTTATTTTATACAACTTGATTATTTATTATTTTTCATTTTAATTTAATATCTCTTTTGTTTGTTTAATTAATCATTTAAATACTATGCAACTTGTTTGAATGAGAAATATTTGTTGTTATAAAAACTAATGAGACAAACAAAAACTATTTTATCAATATATTATTTTGATTGCTAGTTTGTAAAATATAAAATCAAAAAATCTTGGTTTAATTAGCTATGAGATTGTTAACAACAAAGAGGTTGAGAATAAAACTAGTGCGTGTTGACAAAATAAATTCATATGAAACATAAAACATTTTATCACTAAACTAATTAAACAATAACATAACTTTTGATCTTTTATTGGGTTCTGTTGATTTTAAATCTCCATAACTTTTATTAACTTCTTGAATCTGAGTATCATAAAAGATTTTAAATTCAGAATCGTTTTGAAGAAGATATCCAAGACAATATTTTTGCAACATTTCTTTTTTATTGTCATTAGCATTTAATTTAAGATGATAAAATTTATAATTTAGTGTCATTTCAATAATGTCTTGTTCAGTGACAACACTACTCTCACTCCCGTCTGTTATTCCTATGACAACTACTTTTGTTAACTGACATTTCTGATGAATAAACGGAATTTGAGCTTTCAGAAATTGAATAGATTCCTTATCATTAACATCATAAATACAAAATAAAATTTGAAACCCTCTAATAGATGATGGATTTGAAATGCATTGTTCAATATGAAGTGTTGCATTAACTTGACAGATTATCTTTCTGTCAAATACAGGAAATTCAAAATTCTCATAATCACATCCTTGACTCTCAGGAATAAGTTTTCCTGTAAACAACTCATAAAGGTCATAGGAGTCAGTATAACCAACCAATTTTGAACGTAAGAGATAAGTCTTTTTTTCAAGTAATTAATTATTTTGTGAGAATAAAAAGAATAAGTTAAGTGTTTATTTAGGGATAAATATATTTCTTTGTGAGAATTATCTCTAAAAATATATGATAAAAACACGAAGAAATTTGATGGTAGAGAAAGTCCTTGATTGACAAGTAGTTAGATGGGTAAGTAACAATAGTTTTTCATATAAGAATGAAAAGTGATATTAAAATTTGTTTTCATTAAAAGTTAAAAACCTGAAAAAAAAACAAAAAATGATCAATGAGTTTCTTTAACCCAATGATCAATCATCCATTCACAGGATCTGCAAATTTGAAATTAACAAATGGGATAATGCAATCTCTTGGAAAACAGTCAAAGTATACTAATAATCCTCAAGTTATTGTCAAAACAAAAACACTTCCAAAATCTTTTACTTCAGGTATTAAAACAAAAAGTTCAATTAGGACTTTAAGTGAAATTATCCACTCTAATCCAAAGAAAGAATTTAATTATCATCTTAGTTCTGACCAAGAACTTGTGTTAAAAGCAGCATTAGAAGGAAAATCATTCTTTTTTACTGGAGCTGCTGGATGTGGTAAGTCATATGTGTTAAGTGCAATTGTTGAGAAATTAAAACATGATAAAGAAGTTTATGTTACAGCTAGTACTGGAATAGCAGCATGTAATGTTAATGGAATGACAATACATTCATTTTCTGGAATTGGAAAAGGTGAAGGGAGTAGTTCTGAATTATGGGATAAAGTTAAACAAGATAAAAAGGCTTTAAAAAAATGGAATAAAGTTGAGGTATTAATTATTGATGAAATTTCAATGATTGATGGTGATTTATTTGATAAACTTGAGTTTGTTGCAAGAAAAGCAAGAAATAATAATTTAGCATTTGGTGGGATTCAAATGATTATATGTGGTGACTTTTGTCAACTTCCACCAATATCTAGAAATGGAACAACTAAATTTGCATTTGAAAGTAATTGTTGGAATAGAGTTATTCCATACTGTTATTATTTAACTACAGTTCATCGACAAAATGATCAAAAATTTATTACTTTATTAAATGGTATTAGAATAGGTGAAATTAGTGATGAAATGGTAAATTGTCTTAAAGGGTGTTGTGATAAAGAATGTAAACAACAATGTACTCATTTATTATCTTATATCAAAGAAGTTGATGATGTTAATACCAAAGAATTACAAAAGTTACAAGGAAATGAAGTAGTTTATCATTCAGTTGATACTGGAAATTCAATTTATTTAACTTCAATGAAAATTACTGATGAACTACATTTAAAAGCAGGAGCATTTGTAATGATTAATAAAAATATTGATGTTGAACGTGGTCTTGTAAATGGGAGTGTTGGAATTGTTATTGGTTTTGATAAAACCTCATTATTTTCTGGACAACCTGTTCCTATTGTTCAACTCAGTAATAGAACTTTACCAATTAGTGAGTGTAGTTGGGATATTGAATTAGGAAATCAACTTGTTGCAAAAAGAAGTCAAATTCCATTACAATTGGCATGGGCTATTTCTATTCATAAAAGTCAAGGAATGACATTAGAACGTGCAGTGATTAGAATTGATAATGTCTTTGAAACTGGGCAAGCGTATGTTGCTTTATCAAGACTAAAATCATTAGATGGACTATATATTGAAGGAACTGTAATAAAAGAAAGAATTAAATGTAATGAAAAAGCAAAAGAATTTGATCTATTTATTAAAAATGGAAGGTACAATGCGCTTTTTGGAGATAAAGCATCTAAACCAAACTCTTCAAATCAGGTATCTACTCTTAATCAATCTGAAGACTCAGGTAAAACAAAAGAAATGGTAAACAATGATATTATGGTAATTGAAGATGATACTACTTCAATTCATGAAGACAACACTATCACGCATAATTTAGAAATTATACCACCTCTACGCAAGAGTTGTGCATCATTAATGGATTTTGAAAATGAAGAAGATGAAGATGGGTTTGTTATGATAGAGTCATTACAAAATGATATTTTAATAAATAAAACAGAACAAACAAATACCAAAAATAATACAGAGGGAACTAAAACAGAATTAGTATCACCAAATAAAAGTGTAATTAATACAAAAATATTTACTGAATTAGAAAATGATTGGGAAGACATTGAGATTGATGATGATATTCCAATCAAGCCAAGGAGAATAACCACTCCCTTACTTTCTTCAAACGACCAACAAACAAAAAAGAAACCATTATTTTCTTCTGAATTATTTAATAGGGGAAATAGTAAAATTTATATAGAAGCACCTCAAAATTTATTAAAAGATCATGAGAGAAAAAATGGAAGATTATCATTTTCTTCACACCCTCCTAATTTAGAAGGGATTAAAAGACCTCACCAACCACCAACAAACGATACACTCCCACCTATGCATCAAACATTTGAAGAGTTAATTACAAATAAAGAAGAACAAAATGAAGGTTTAGAGCAAGAAGATAAAATAAATTATTTAGGTGTAAATGAAAATTGGAGAAATAGCATAAGTGAAGAGCATTGTTACAATAATGAGTTTGAAGAGAATGAGGGAGAAAGTTTAGAAAAATCATTAAATGAAGATGATATGTGGATGAAATTATATGGAAAAGATATATTTGAAGGAAATTGTTCGAGTTATAATGAAAATAAATCAAATACTGTAGGGGCAAATAGAAACTCTTCTGAAATTGACTCAGAACCATATGAACCAAAAAAGAAAACACAGACCATTGAAGATTTATTGAGTGAAAAAGAACTAGAAAGTATTCACCATCGAGGGAGTAAGACAGACCCTATTAAAATAGATGATTTTGATATAGAGAATCATGAAGAATAAAATGTATTGTTAAATTAAAACTTGTGTTATAATATTTAATCTTTTTTCTTCTATATTTCTTTCTCAAATAAAAAAATGAAAAAATAAAAATATTTTTAAAAGATCTCTCTCTATCAATTCAGTTCCATGAACACTTTGATGAAACAAAAAATAGTATTTCTTGGAGATTCTTCTGTTGGAAAGACGTGCATTATTGGAAGGTTTATGACTGGTGATTTCAGTACTGGATATGAAGTTTGTGTTTATTGTTTTTTCTAGTTGTTCGTAGTAATTCTTGTTCTCATTTCATAGGCAACAATTGGTACTGATTTTTCTACTAAAACTATGACATTTCAAAATAAATCTATTCAATTACAGATTTGGGATACTGCAGGACAAGAAAGATATCGATCATTAATCCCAAGTTATATTAGAGATTCATCAGCAGCAGTGATAGTTTATGATATTAATGGTTTGGTATTTTTATTTCTATTGTTTGTATTAGGTTCAGAAAGAAAACCATCCAAATAAAAAGTAAAGAATTTTGATGAATAAATTACTTTTCTAAATGAACAAAAGGATTGACTAGTGTAGATAGACAAAGTTTTGAGAATGTAGATAAATGGATTGAGGATGTACGTTCCAAAGAAAAGGGAGAAATTTTCTTATTTTTGGTTGGAAATAAATTGGACTTAGGACACCGAGAAGTTACACAAAAAGAGGCATTGGCAAAGGGGCAGAACTATCAATGCACTTGCTTTGAAACTAGTGCTAAAACTAATATCAATATCACTGAATTATTCAATGCAATCACAGAAAAATTAAGTACATTAGAGCCACCAGTTGAAGATCACATTGAGACTGTTTCAATTGGAAATAAGAAAGCTGAGAATGAAAGTAATGGAGGATGTTGTTGAGTTTGTAATTTCAAAGGAATATAATGACAAAATTTTAAGTTTTACGTTCGTTATAAATAACAATAAAAGAAAATAAAAAAAAGAAAAAGAAAAACTAAAAAGTTTTAAGATTATTGGGGAAATTAAAGGTAATGTCAGAGACAAATCCCCAAGACAATGAAATTATAATACAAAACCAAATTATAAAAGAAGTCTATAATAAAACAGAACCATTTGCAAGATCATTTAATGATGAAAAGAAATGGAAAGATATTACTGTAGAATTTAAAAGGTATTATAATGAAGAAATAAAACAAGGAGAGTTTAAAGGAGATGAGAAATTAAGTTTAGCTAAAGTATTACATTCAGTTGAAGTATTTAATCCATTTATGGATATTGGACATCTACTTAAAGATAATTATCGATCAGAAGAATTATTTGAAGCAGGAAAGATAAAAGAAATTGAAAAATTTGAAGATAAAGACTTAATAGAGTTATTTGATTCATTATTTATATTAGAACAATTATATTTTCATGGGAAAATGTGGAATCATACAATGAAATGTTGTGATTATATTAATTTAGTAGAAAAACTTAATAAAGAAAGTATAGGATATGTTATTGTTATTTCAGAATTAAAAACATGTTCATTATATTATAAGATGGTAATGTCAATTGGAGTAGAAGAAGAAGAAATGGACTTTAGTGAACAAGGGAATCAATTTATTGCAGAAATGGGAAATGATAAATTCTATTTAATGATTGATGAAATACTTAAAAAAGAAATTAGTAAAGAACTTAAAGAACGACTTGAATTTAGAAAGGAATATATAAAAGCATTAGAAGAAATTGGAAATAAAAAAATTACAATACTTCCAAAAATACCAGAAGATATGAAAACAACAGAAAAAAGATTTATTAGAGAGAATTTATATGCTAGAGATTTAACATTTGTACCAAATATAAGAAGATATGAAATACCAACACTTGAAGAAGTAAAGAAAATGTATGAAAAAGATGCAGAAGAAATTAAAAAAACAAATGAATTAATACCTAAAGAAAGAATAATGGTAGCATATTGTGGAATACATAAAATATTTATGTGTCCAATAAAGAATTTAATAGTTAGATATATTATTAGAGAATATATATTAGATAATATTCAAGAAAAAATAAAAAAAGGAATGAAAGAAGTTGGATTAAATCAACAAAGAATTGAAGTAGATAAAACATTTTATGAAAGATTAGGAATGGTATTTGGTGATATTATTAAAATGATGACACATAATAAATCATATTTTTATCGTAGTTTTTCAATTTTACTTGAAGTATTTGAAATGACACATAATGATGCATATCAATTTGATTTACAACAAATACAAAAATATCCACCACCAACATTTAAACCACAATTTATAATGCCAGGACATTATATTAATGGATATCTTATGCAAATAAAATTTTCATTAATGATAAAATATCTTTTAATTGGTATTTCATTAAAATTATATAGTGATTATGAATATCATATGATTTACTGGTATATTTCTATTTTATTTAGTATGTCATATGAACACTTAAATGAATTTAGAATACAATTAGATATGGATAGAAGAATGTATTCAATATCAAAAAAATCAAAAAATATCAAACCATCAAAACTAACACCAAATATGGAACAATTAACTATTTTATTATATAAAACATTAATCAGTGGAATTACTAAATTACTTTTAGCATTAAATAAAATGAATATTATCAAATCACCAGAATTTTTACTTGGTAATAATAAATATCGTTATGAACTTAGATTTTCTGCATTTGAAAAATGTCATACACCACAATATATTCCATTTGAAAAATATGAAGAACAACGTAATAATAACATTCAACCAGGATTAATTATTATTGATTCTGTTAATGAACTGAAAAAATGTAAAGAAATTATTGAAGAAATTAAATTAAATAATAAAAATAATTATCTTCCTAACGAAATGGTTGGAATGTTATATAAAATATCAATGTCTAATATGTTGACTGCAATGAAATTAATGAAAATTCATCCTACTTCAACAACAAAAGCAGTATTTTCATTTGATGATATTGAATATCTTCCAATAATTTCTATTAAGGATAATTAATTGACTTCTTTTCTTTAAAACTTATTTATTAACTAAATATCAAATCAATCAATCATGAATTAATAACTTATTCATTAGGTCTAAAACTAAATGTCTCAACAAAACTAAAGTCATCAATAAGAAATGGTTGAGTTATTGGAATATCAACTATTATCAATTGTGTTAAATTAGTTAAAATTGTGAATTTATTTAGACTTACAGTAAATTTAGGTGAATGTTTAATAATAAGACTTTTAAGAGAAATAGGGAAAGAATATTCATAAGGAGAGAATGAAATAATTTCTATAGATTGGAGTTGTGTTAATTCTTGTAATTCAAGAGCACAGTCTGCTGATGTCATAAATTTAAATTGAGAAGATTTGAGAGATTGAGGTAATTTTAATGTTGAATAAGAAACACCTCTGAAATCTATTGATTCTAATCGAGTTAATGGGCTGAGATCTATTTTTGATAGATTAACATAAGATAGTTCTAAACGGGTTAAGTTAGTTAAATGACTTGTTTCATTTATTTCAGCAATAAGACTAGATAAATATGTAAGTTTTAGTGCTTCAACTGAAGGAGAAATTTGAACTGATTTGCAATAGACATTAAAATTAGATAATTGTTTTAATTCAGAACAATTACTAAAATCAAGGGATTGTAAAATACAATTTATTCCAGAGAAACTTTTTATTGATCTAGGAAATAATATTTGATCATTAATTTGACATTCTTCAATTACAATTTCTTTTAGTTGAGTAAAGAATTGAAATTGTGGAAGGAAATCTATATTATTGCATTCAATTGTTGATAACTGAGGACCATTCTCATTTCCACAAGAAGCTATTAATTGGTCAATTTGAGTATTTTTTAATTTAAGTTTTAATAAATTCGATGGAATTGTCAAAGAACTTAGTTGAGGACATTGTTCAATTTCCAAAGAAGTTAATAATTTCATTTCTTTAAGACTTGGTAATGATTTAAGAATAATAAGTGAATCAAGTGAAATACATTCTACTGATGTTGGTAAGTTAAAGAATTCTATACTTGAAATTTTTTGAAAAGTTAGACTTTTTAATTGAGTGTACAATGCAAAATTTGTTTCTCTAACAAATTTAATTTTACTTAATTTAATATTTTCAATATTTTTTGGACATATAAAAATGAAATCTAAATACTTCCAATGTAACGATTTTAAACCATCAAGTTCTTCTAAATTAAAAGAATGGATTTGACATGACACTACTTTTAAAGTTTTTAAAGTTTTTGGTAATAATAAGGTATTAATTTCTAACTCAACTAATGTGAGAGTTTGAATATTAGAGTTCTCTTTTAAATCAAAGAGTTGAGGGACTTTTCCTCTCATAATTGAGAGGTGTTTAAGATGAGAACCTAAATGAAATTGAAATATGTCAAGTCCTTCAGTTTCAAGAATTTCTAATGAAGGGCAACCAACCAAATTGAGATCTATATAATCTCGTTTTGTCTTATCACCATAAATTGGATGCAAAAAGACACGTTTTAATGAAGAACAAATATCTAAAGTTTTAGGTAATCTAGTAAATTCAACACTATTATATAGTTTTAAAGAATTAATATTATCTTCAATTCTTTTCTGAATAACCATTGTAGGAAAATCAGGAAGATATGCTGTAATAAAAAAGTCCATCATATTTTGATTAAAACAAGGAAATTTAGTAGGAGTAAAAGAAAGGAAAAAACGAAAAGGTTCAGCATAAACTTTACTCATGATATATTCCCAAATATCTCTTTTAGAATTATCTCGAAGATCAACATTGTAAAAGTAAATTGTAAAGTTTTTAGGAGAATCTAAAACACTGTCTATATGTTCATAACTTAATGCCTCAAACATATTCATATGAATAGTAATAACAATTTTAATTTGAGAACCAAGACTAGATAATGTAGTGATAAAATGTTTTAAACTATCTTTTTTCATTTCTAAGAATTCAATATAAATTTCTTGTAATTGAGAAGCAGAATGAAGAATATTAATTTCTGAGAAATACTCAGTACTAACTGAAGTAATAACAATTTTTTTTAATTGTGGTATTTGTTGTAAAATTTGAGAAAGGGATTGAATTACTTTTTGAGTGAACCGAATAGTTAGTGTTTGTAATTTAGGCATAAATGGTAAAGGTAAGTATGTGTCAGTATCTTTTACTTGAAAGTCAATAATATTATTTGAATGAATAACAATTATATTTTTGTAATACGGAGAATCAGCAATTACAGACAAATCAATGTATTCAGGTAATCCATTTTTTGTTGGTAAACAACTAAGTCTACAATTAATTTTTCTAAGTAAAGGATATCTATCCATTAAATATAATAAATTAACTGAATTTGTTGTGTATTTTGTGATTCTCTCTATTGAATCTTTACAATATTTATTAATAAAAATAAACTTAGAAAGTTCTTTAGAAGAGCAATATTGAAAAACTATTAAATACTCTGACCTTTCTAACTTATGAAGACGTTCTACTTCCATTAAATAATTGATTGAATTATTTAGTTAAAAAAAAAATTAAAAGAAAAATTAAAAATAAAATAAAAATAAACAAACAAAAAACAATGAAATTAAAGAAATAAGTATTAGCATGGAAGAGAATATCTTGCAACTGACCACAATGGTTTTGATAAAAAGAGAGATGGATTTGATGAAGAGATTGAAATCATTTGTTTTAAAATTTCTTCTGGAGAGATTGGATTTTGGTTATAAGAATGGTGTTTAAGATATTCAAATGAAGGAAGGTCTGTATTACAATTCATGCTTTACTTTATTTTGAAAAATTTAAGATGAAACTATTTTTAATTTCTTTTTTGACTTTAAATTTCAATTCAAATTCAATTCTATTTTTTCATTAACTCATTCACATTTTAGAAATACAATAATTATTTAATATTGATAGATATTCTCAAAGACACATTCAAGAATTCAAAAATTAATAACAAGTAATAAAAAAGAGAACTGAAGAGTAAATATGAAAGTAATAAAAAAAATAAGAATTAAAAAAAAATTATAAAAAAAAGAATAATAAAAAACTAAAAAAAAAGAAAGTTGTAAATAGGAATATGAGTAGTTCAGATAATGAAAATGTCTCAATGGAAATTGAAGTTGATGGAAATAAACCAAATAGATGTAGTTATTGTGGAGGGACTGAATTTAGAAATGAACAAGGAAGCTTAATATGTGAAAATTGTGGATTAGTTATAGATAATAGTAGAGCACTTATCGCAGAATTACAATTTGATGAAAGTGGAGGAAAAAAGATTCTAGCAGGAACACAATTTGGAGAAACCGAGAAAAAACGATATGATATTGAACGACAAATGAGGGCAATTAAAAAAGTAGGAGAAATGCTTAAAATGAAAAGTATTGATATAGAAAGTGGACAAAGACTATATCGAGTTGCAATGCAAACTGGAATTACTAAAGGAAGAAAATTTTCATATAGTGCTGGTGCTTGTTTATATATTATTTGTAGAAGAGAACGAAGTGATCATTTATTAATAGATTTTGCAGATGTTTTACATGTTTCTGTTAGAAGACTCGGAAGAACATTTATTAGATTTTGTGAAGAATTAAAATTTGATTTACCATTTGTTGATCCTTGTCTTTATCTTCAAAGGTTTGGTGAAGATCTTGCATTTGAAAAAACTGGTGATGTAGTTAGAACAGCAATGAGAATATGTCAACGAATGAATAGAGATTGGATGCATTATGGAAGAAGACCTTCTGGTATTTGTGGTGTTGCTTTATACCTTGCAGGAAGATTACATGGAGAACCAAGAACATTAGAAGAAATTGTTCATGTAGTCAGACTTTCTACTACTACTGTTCGTGTTAGATTAAAAGAATTTTTAAGAACACCATCTGCAGATTTGACATTAGAACAATTAAACGAAGATGACCAATCAACCACTCATTGTAATCCTCCAAGCTATACTTTAAATAGATTAAAAGATAAAGCAAGAGAAACAGTTGGTGCTAATGTTCCATTAAAGAAAAGAAAAGGAAATGGAGATGAATATGAAGCAGCCGAAGATAAAAAATTAACTGAAGAAATTGAAACACTAATAGGAGGTGAAGTAAGTAAAATTATGGGATGTAAAGATATTGATTCAAAACCTTTAAATCTTGGAACACTAGAAGGGAAAAGTGCAAAAGATGTTGGATTAGAAGGAGAACATTTTGATGTAGAAAAACTAGTTGATATAAATAAAATGAAAGAAGAAGATTTTGAAAGTGAAGGGGTTGATGAAGGAGAGTGTGCAGTTGGAGATTGTAGTGAATTTGATAATGAACTTGATGGATATTTTTTGGATGATAAAGAAGCTGAAAAAAGAAAACAAATTTGGGAAGAATTAAATGCTGAATTTTTAGAAAAAGAGAAGAAAAGACTTGAAGAAGGTGAAGAAATTCCTATTAGGAAGAAAAGAGAAAAGAAAACAAAGAAAAGTCATAGCACATTTGGAGAAGCAATGTCTGAACAACTTAAAAAACGGTCATCAAGAATTAATTGGGAGGTTCTTGGAAAGATGATTGAACAAACAGAAAAATTAGCAAAAGGAGAGGTTGAAATTAAAATTGAAGTTAAAGATGAGGAAAATGATCCATCATTATTAAGTCAACAATTAGAACAAAAAAATGAAGAGTCTAGTGAAGAAGATACTAATGATGAAGGTGGTGCTTTTTTTATTGGAGATGTTTAAACTGACTGGTATTATTGATATTTTATTTTCAATTTCGACAACTTGTATTTTATATTATAATAGAACATTAAAATGAAGTTATTGATTATTGTTTTTGATATTTATAATAAGGGAAGTGTTATTGTTATTAAATTTAGATTAACCTTTTATTAAAAGATTTAATGATTTTTATAATTAAATTTGATTATAATTTTTATAAAATGATTTAATAATGTATAAGAAGAATATGTATATATTGATTTTTTAGCATTAATTAATTTGTACTTTTTTTATAAGAAAGAAAATAATAATTTTGTTTTTAGTATTTACTTATTTTAAGTATTATTAATCATAAAATTAAACTTGTTTAACAAGTGAGATAATAACCAAATTATTATAAATATTACAACAAAGCTGTGTCTGTAGTTTATCCGAGTTATTACTCTCAAACAAACTGCTTTCTTCATTATTCTTTTTTTTTGTTATTTATTTTTTAATTTCAATAAATTTTGAAATAAACCCGTATGGTGCGTCACTTCTGAGGACTTTTTTTATTTGAGGATCTACATTTAAAACCCACCCTTTCTCATATTGGTATTGAAGTATTTGTAATGATCGATTCTTTATAAAATATTTCACAGCTTTCCCGTTTTCTGGTTTTTGAATATATAAAACTAAATAATCATTTTGATGAATTATTCCTTTACAAACCTGGAATGGATATCCATTAAAAAATGTCTTTTCAATTGATTCTTTAATTCTCTGAGTTAAATATTTAATGTCACTACCAAAATATTCATCAGGAAATTGACTGATACAAGTTGTGACATATTCCATTAAATCTTAATTATACTAAAACTATTTATAAATTTTATAATATATTTTACTTTTTTTTTCGTTTTTTTTAATTGGGATACTTTCAGTCTCTCTCAATTTCAAATTATTTTAGTTATAAAGAATTCTTTTATAATAAAACTATTGTAATAATCCTTTTTATAAAAAGTATTAATTTATTTAAAAAATATCTTCTAGGTTTAAATAAAAAGTTATAAAATATCATAAAACTAGAACAGCATTAGAGCCAAAGATAGTAGATATAGAAAACTATTTAAACTTTTCGATTTAAGAAAAGTGCCAAATTTCAAGAATACAAAAATGTACCAACAAAATAAAAAGAAAGAAGAAAGATTGGAAATAGTATTCATAGCAAAAGAATTTAGAAGAATTAATTTTTACAGATAAAATGAATCAAAAAAAAAAAAAAGAAAAAAAATTGTTTTTATATGAAAAAATTAAAGAAAAAATCAAAAAAAGAAACAGATTAACCCTATGTCTGATTTACATCATCTTTCTTCACCTTGGATCTTTTGGTTTGAATCAGGTAAAGACTCTGATCGTTCTACTAGCATTACTTCATTTGGAGAACAAATACAAACAATTTGTACAATAGAAAATTTCTGGGGATTTTATGAAGATTTTCCAAATATTACTTCTGTTTTAAAAGGAAGTGACTCTCATTTCTTTAGAGATAAAATAAGACCAACCCAAGGAGATGATGAAAACAAAAATGGTGGTAGAGTTGTGTTCTCTTTTGACCTTAAAACTCAAGAACAAACAGAACATGTAGAACAAATTTGGTGTAAATTAGTTTGTTGTTTTTATTATCATTAAGTTCAATTAATTAAACTTTATAAATACTTATTCATTTAGTTATGTTACTGTATTGGGGAAATATTTAATCAACATGAAGACGTTAATGGTGTTTCATTCTCCATGAGAAGCCAAGCAAAAATTACTATTTGGTTAAAACATAATGATGAAAATAATGTAAAAACATTCGTCGATGATTTGAGAAATGACTTTGCTATTACAAATAAATGCAAATTCTTTGATCATCAAAAACAACTTGCCATGCCAATTGAATTTTAATCAAATATTTATATTCCTTATAATTTTGTATTAAATGATACTCTTCTTTGTTAAAGAAAAAATAAAATAAAAATAATTATTTAATGAAAGTTATTTAATTATTGAGCAGCACCTTGACCAAATTTACTCATTAATTTACTCAAAATTGGTCCTACTTTTGGATCACTCATTAATGCAGTAATTTGTGCTGGATTACTCATAGCAGATGATAATTTAGCCATAACATCTGGATCTTGCATAGCAGCCATTAATTCTGGATCTTTTGCAAGTTCAGCAAATAGTCCATTCATTCCTCCCATATTTGGCATACCTCCCATGTTAGGCATTCCTCCCATATTTGGCATACCACCATAACATCCTTGTCCACCACAACAACCTCCTTGTCCACCACAACAACCTCCTTGTCCACCACAACAACCTCCTTGTCCACCACAACAACCTCCTTGTCCACCACAACAACCTCCTTGTCTATGACATCCACCATGTCCATCACATCCTGGTTTCTTTTCACCTCCACAATGGCATTGATGTCGTTCTTCTTGTTTTGGTTTTTCTTCTTCTTGTTTATTATGTCTTTTTTCATTTTGTTTTTCAATAGCAACGAACTTTTCAACAACTTTTTGTAACTCATAAGTACTGTCATCATAATCAAGTTTATTACCAAGTCTTAAATCAACAACGGATTTTTGATATTGTCCAATCATTCTATAAGCAATACCTCTCATCTTATATGCTTTAGCATTGTCTGGATTCAATTTAATAGCTGTAGTACAATCTCTAATTGCTGCATTTGGTTTTTTAGCTTTATTATAGTATTGAGCACGACAAGCAAAAAAGTTTGCAACTCTTGGATTCAACTTAATTGCTTCAGTAATTGTAGCAATTGCTTTGTCAACCTCTCCCATATTAAATGCTTCCATAGCTTCACTTCGTTTAGTAGATGCTTGAACTTCCATTTCTTCAGTAACTTCAACATCCATATTAATAGTTTCTGGTTCAATTGTATCACCAGGAATAACTTCAGGATCATCGATTTTAATTTCTTCCTCCATAGGTTTTTCTTTAGTTGTTTCATCTTCTTTCTTTTCTTCTTCCATTGGCTTTTCTTCAGATTTTGGTTCTTCTTTTTTAGTTTCAGGAATCTTACCTCCAAGTGAAATGATATAATCTCTTAAGAAATCAAGTCTATTATCATTAAGAAACTCCGGGTGTTGTTGAAGAAGATTAATAAAAACTTTTAATGCTTGAATTTGTGAGTTTGTTACACCAAATGATTCCATTTTAAAAGGTAACTGACTAAACTTTGTTTAAATAGTTCTTTATGAAGATTAAGTTCCGATGTGGCTATGAGTCAATTCCACGTAATCATATTTACCTTATTCTTTATTTCTTTTATTTTTGAAAACCTATGGATAAGAACAACAAACAACCTAAACGTTCGAAGAAACGGAGTCACAATAAGTTATTACCAAAAACTGTACAAAAAGAAGTGATGAATGGTATTCGTGTTAGTAATATTCCAATACAATACACTATTGAACAATTCGTTGATTATTTTCGTCATTGTGGAATTGCGAAAAAGAAAACACCAACTCAATATGATGCATATTTCTGTAATGAGAATGAAAATGATAAAACGAAAGAAGGTATTCTTTATTTTTTACATGAAGAGTCAGTTCAAAAAGCTATTGAATATTATGATAATTCTCAGATAGAACCAAAATGTTTCATTCAGATTGAAGGGATTTTTTCGCAACCTGAAAACTCAAATCCTAATGAAAAAAAATATGACCAAACAAGAGAAGATGAATGGGATGATAATAAATTAGTTCATGTAGTTATCAAAAATATGTTTGATTTAAAGGAAGTTTGTTTTAATAAAAAAAATACTTTTAAAGAAAGACAAATTGATTATAATAGCCAAAAGATTTACAGTTTTTCAATGAGTTGAAAGAAGATGTTGAAGAAGAAGTGAAAGCTAAATGTGGAAGTGTTGAAAAAGTAACTGTGTTTAATACAAATCCAGAGGGAATAGTTATTATTAAATTTAAAGACCATAATGCTGCTGAACAATGCATTGCTCTAATGAATGGTAGATGGTTTGATAAACATCAATTAAGTTGTGATTATTATGATGGATATACCAATTATAAAGTAGAAGAAACAGAAGAACAAAAACGAGAAAGAATAGCACGCTGGGAAGAGTATTTAGGAGGGAGTGATGATTAACAACCTTGTTATTTTTGTAATATCTTTAGTTTCATCATTTTAGATTGTCTTATCACAATAAAGAAAAATAGTAAAAAAAAGAAAAAGTATACAAAACAAAATCAATCATTGAGCCCGAACACCATCAAGAATTTTGAAATCGGAATTAACTACAACAGCATATAAATTACGACTATTTTCAGGAGATGAAATCATCCATTTCTTAAAGCTAGATTTTCTCTGTCTTAAATGACCAAAATCAGATGCTTCAAAAGGTCGAATAAATTGACCAAGTTCATTTACCATAACAACATAAACAGTTGTTCCATTTAAAATATATGGTGTTTGTTTCCATTTTTCATTGGAAACAATACTATCAGAAACAACAGAACTTGACTCAGAAGTAGGTCTTGAAGAGATTGTTGGGTTCTTCTCTACTTTTTTTGGTTTAGTTAAGGATTTCGATTTTTTAGTAAAAGCCTGTACACTAGTATTCATGAAAGTGTTCAAAAGGCTCATGATAAAATAAAATTAAACAGTTTTTTTTTACGATTGAGGTTTTTATGTTGTTTCCCACGTCATTGACTTTAACTTCATAACATTTTTATGAGGTAAAAAGTGTTTTTCTAAGAACGTTTTACAATTAAAAAAAGAGAAATATCAAACGTAATTCATAGCAAAAAAAAAAATAAAAAAAGACTTTGAATGTTAAATGGGAAATTCAATTCCTTTCAGCACAGGTACTATCCAAATAGAAAAAAAAATTGGTGAAGGTGGTTTCAGTCAGGTTTATGTTGGAAAAGATCATTTTGAAAGAAAAGTGGCAGTTAAAGTAATAGGATTTTGTTCAAATGATAATTTACAAAGAATAGAAAAAGAGATTAAAATACATAAGATTGCAAGTGAAAGTCATTTTGTAATAAAATTGCTTGAGTTTGTTTTGTTAAATAGTTTATAATATTCCTAGTCTTATATTTAGTTCCATTCTTCTTCAACAACAACACCAAATTGCTATTGCAATGGAGTTTTGTAGTGGAACTCTTGTTAATGAAATGGAACAATGTTATCCATCAACAATTGGAACAAATAAAATAAGAGATGTGATGTTATGTGTAAGTAGTTCATTAGCTTATTTGCACAGTAAAGGTTATTGTCATCGTGATATTAAAGTAGAAAATGTATTAATTTTGAATGGAGAATATAAACTCACTGATTTTGGTAGTGCTATTCCTACATCTACTTATCTTACTCGTAAACAAGGTGATGCTAGTGAGGTTGAAGAAGATATAGAAAAATATACAACTCCTGAATATCGTTCTCCTGAAATGGTTAAAGTATATAACTATAATCCAATTGGGGATAAAGCTGATGTTTGGGCAGCAGGATGTTTATTATACAAATTAGAATTTTTTGTTACTCCTTTTGATGGTAGTCCAATGAAAATTATAAGAGGAAGTTATGAATTACCAAAACCAATTGAAGACACTGAAAAAAGCTGGTTGGAAAATACTCTTGAAGTTGATCAAAATAAAAGGTGGAACTCTCAAGATCTTTTCAATGCTATTAACACAAACTCTATTATAGTTAAACAACATCCAAAAGATCAAATTACAATAACTGAAAAACAAGTTTCCCAAAAACCAAGTGATACTTATAATAATGATAATAAAAAAGTTTTTACTAGAAGAAGAAATTCTTTTGGATCTTCTACATCAAAAACTAGAGTAATGGGTATTGCTGAAAAAACATTAAAAGAAAAACCATTAATTAGTTTCGATGATCAGAAAGAAATAGACAAATCATCTGTTGTTAGAAATATTTGTTCATTATATGACCAACCTAAAACTTCAATTCAACCATCTCGTGTTTTTGATTCATCGATATTACAAAATTCAACAAATCAAGATAAAAAGGATTATATGTCATTATACAATCTTTCTGGACCATCTAATAATTATGAAAATCCATTAAGTTTAAGTCCTAATCAATTTTGTGGTTATTATAATGGTAGTGTTACTCCAAATAATTGTTACTCTCGACAATTATATCAACCTCAATCTGGAACATGTCCAGTAACACCAACTTCTCAATCAAAAAGAAATATAACAAGTTTACATTCTCCAGAAATTCCTGTTGTCTTACAACCACCAGAAAAAGTTGATATTTTTGCACAACTTGATACAAAACCAAAACAAGGGTTTCATAGAGCAACTTCAAGTTCTTCTAATCTTTTTTCATTTGATGAAAATGCATTTTAAACTGATTTAAAGATATTTTTAATGATAGTTAATTGATAAAATTCATTCACTTGCAAGTATTTTATCTGCATGATCCAATAAATAAGTAAAGAATAAACTAATATTCTTTGCTTTAGAAATAGCTTCAATGTTAGTAACTTCACTCCAATAAATACAAGGACCGAACATAATTCCCATATTTGATGTTGACATTTTGTTTTCACTAACGTGACTACAAATTATCTTTCCTAACACAACAAGATGATATAATAATGATTTATTTTCTTCTGGTAATTTTTTAATGGTTGACTTCATTTTATCTTCAGTTACCATTGTATCATTTTTAAATAATTCTGCAATTTCATCTCCAATTGGATAAGTTAATAAAGGTGTTGGTAATGAACGTAAATAATGTTTTAATAATGAACAAACAACATGAGGATCTTCATTTTCTTCAAATTCACTACGAATTCCGCAATTAAATTCTTTAATTAATTGTTCTATTCTTTGTTTAGAACCAGCCATTCTAAAGATTCCTTCTATTGAAATAACTTCTACTTTAGATGAAAAATACATAATAGCACATTCAATAATTAATGGAGCTGTTGTTGAACCTCTAAATGGATGGTGAACAGCATCTGATAATGGAATACCAAAAATTGGATGTTGAGTAGCTAATGATTCTAAGAATTCATGAGGAATAGAAATTGTACCCATTGGAATATCTTTAAAAAATTCAAATAAATCTTTTACTATTACAAACTTATTTAAATCATCAGATTTTATAAAATTAATTGATTTTAAAGAAATTGATGGAGTAATAAATGAATAAATTTTATAAATATTACTTTTAATTTGATTTGGAAGTCTTACATATAACATTTCAAAAACTCCATAAGGAATTTGATTTATTTTATTAATATAAATAACAACAAATTCTTTTTGATAAATAAATTGTAATGATTTTAAAATAAAGAAGTAAAATTTTTGTGGAAAGTTTGGAGTGTTATCAACTAACACATCCTGATTAAATATTATAATATGACGATGTTTCCTGTCAAACCCTTTATTTATTATTACTTGTGAATTAAATTCTTCAAAATTCATTTCATTTGCTTTTTTAATTTCACGTTGTAATCGAATATCATCTTCTTCAAATACTTCATTGTCATTTGGAAAAAAACAGTCTTTATATTCTAATTCAAATATAGTTCTCTTTTTCTTTTTATAAAACTCAAATACTTGTTGTTTCTTTTTTGAACTTAATTGACTTTCATCAATTAATATCGGTGGTGATATACTACATTTTAGTTCTTCTTTTAATTCATTTTTCTCTTCTTCTTTTTCAATTGGTATTTCTATCTCTTTATTACTTTCTGTTTCTTTATTCTCTATTTTATTTGTTTTTGGTGTTAATGGTTGAGTTTCATAATTATCAATGAGGGCTTTATCTAATTCCATTCTTCTTTGTTTGTTTCTTTTTTTTTTTATGTATCAAATTTATTACTTTTTTCAATTTTTTTATTAAATAAAAATTATATTTAGAAACTCTAAATATTAAGATACTAATAGAACTAAAAAATTTGAATAAACCAATAAAGATAAATTAGATGATATATTTAGAATTAATGCTTAAAATAGAACAACGAGAACTATAAAAGAGGACTCAAAAAAAAGTATTTCATCAATTTTAATATATGGGATTTCTTTTTATTCTTGTTATTGGAATATTAGCTTATCTTGGATATCTTATTTATAAGAAGGAATTAACATGGCCTATTAAAGAGTCAATTATTTATAAAAAGGTATTAGACTTGATTGAACAAGTAAATGCTACAAACAAAGAAAGCCAAAAACATCTTAAAACTGATGAAATTACTTCTCCTAAAACAGAAGAGAACCAAAATAAAAATGCAACAAAAACAAAATCTGGTGATAATGTAGTTCATGTACCAAAACCAAAAGGAGATGAACCAGTTATAGAAGATAGACCAAATGGTAAGAAAGAAGTTGTTTCTGGTGATAAAAGTATTTTGATTGATCGAATTAAATCAAAACACTTTGATCCAGTTGATCAAAAATTTAGTGAAGCTACTCGACTAAGGGAGGAATACGTCAAAGCTAAAGAGGCTAAATCACCAGAAAGAGATGAGTTATTTAAAAAGTATGAGGCTACTAGAAATGAAGCAGAAGAAATGAAAAAGAAAGCAACGATTGCCATTTTTGAAGAAGTTAATATTTATATGGTTGATGAAGATGCTATCGATTTACATGGTCTTCAAATAGAAGGAGCTCTTGCTATGGTTAAAGATCAAATTAACAAAAGAAAAACAGCTGGAAAGTCAATTATTAAAGTTCAATGTGGAATGGGTCATCATAACACTGTTGGATTCTCTAAAATTAAAGAGGCTGTAGTTAAATATTGTCAAGATGAAAAATTATCGTTTACTGAAGACAAGGAACATGGATTTGTAAACATTTCATTATAACTCATTTTAATTTAACTTCTTTTTATCTTTTATTTATTTTGTTTTGTATATCAAAAAATAAAATAAAAAATAAAAAAAATTTGAGTAAAAACAAAAATCTTAAAAATAAGAAAGAGGAAATTAATGATAGCTCAACGTAAAAAAAAAGAGGCAAATCAATTAACACTACAAGATACTATCAATAGACAACAAAGCATCATTAATAAAGACAAAATAACAATTGAACATTTTCTTACGACACATGTATTATCAGATGGATCAACATATAAAAGTAGATTAGAACAAATAAATATTCAAAGAGATGGTAATTTTACAATTTTTCTTGATGATGTAAAGGATTATTTATTTATAAATGATAATCAAGTTAAAGATAAAAAGATTCTTGATAGAATTGAAAATAATGCAGCTCGATATTTAAATATTTTTAAAGAAGTTATTTATACATTACTTCCATCTCGTGTAGGATTTGATCCTTCTTCATTAGATTCAGTTGATGTTTTAACAATTCAACGTGAAACAAAGAAATTAAGTTTTCCATTAGAATTAAAAGCAAAATTTGAAACATTTATTAGACCAAGAAAAAGTCAAGAAATTACTCCAATAAGAGAATTAAGAGCTGCAAAAATTGGTAAATTAGTTCGGGTTAAAGGTATTGTTACTCGTGCTACTGATGTTAGACCATTAGCACGAGTTATTACTTATTCTTGTGAACAATGTGGTAATGAATTATACCAAACAATCATTGGTAATAGATTTTTACCTCAATACAAATGTCCTTCAAAGACTTGTCAAAAAGGAAATAAAACAGGTACCTTATTAATGCAACCTCGTGCATCAAAATTTGTTAAAATTCAAGAAATTCGAATTCAAGAATTAGTTGAAGAAGTTCCTATGGGTGCAACTCCACGAAATTTAATTGTTAAAGTAGAAGGTCCATTAGTTCAATTATGTGCGCCAGGAGATGTTGTGACAATAGAAGGTATTTATCTTCCAGATGAATTTTTTTCAAGAAAAGATATGCATATTGGATTTATTAGTAATACTTTTATGAAAGCAATGTCTATTGAAAAACAAAAAAAGAACTATACAACATACACCCTTTCTTCTGAAATTAAAACTCGAATTAGTGATGAAGTAAAAGATTTCCCATTTGAAGAAATTTACAATAATTTAGCACTCTCTATAGCTCCTGAAATTTATGGTTTAGAAGATTTAAAGAAAGCTCTATTACTTACTGTAGTTGGTGCACCAACTAGAAGAATGAAAGATGGTGTTAGTATTAGAGGTGATATTAATACATTATTAGTTGGTGAACCTGGTATTGCTAAGTCACAGTTATTAAGGGCTGTTGCTGGTGTTGCTCCAAGAAGTGTTTATACTACTGGAAAAGGGTCTTCAGGAGCTGGTTTAACTGCAGCAGTTATAAGAGATCAATTAACTAAAGAATGGGTATTAGAAGGAGGGGCATTAGTTTTAGCAGATATGGGTATTTGTTGTATTGATGAATTTGATAAGATGGATGAAACTGATAGAACAGCTATTTATGAAGTAATGGAACAACAATCAATTTCTATTGCTAAAGCAGGAATTACAACTAGTTTAAATGCAAGAGTTAGTATTGTTGCAGCTGCTAATCCTATAAAAGCAAGATATGATATCCAAAAATCTGTATCTGAAAATGTTAATTTACCAGCAGCATTAGTATCTCGTTTTGATTTATTATTTGTATTACTTGATGATGCTACACAAGATTTTGATAAAGAACTTGCATTATTTGTTTGTAAATCACATAGAGGAGAAGTTGGAGAAAGTAAAGCAATTTATGACGTTGAATTTTTAAGGGCATTTATTGGAAATGCAAAGAATTTTAATCCAATTGTTCCTGAGACATTAACAGATTACATAGTTGATAGTTATGTTAAAAAGAGGTCTAAACCTAAAAATAAGTTAGATGATTTAATCATTACTCCAAGAAGTCTTCTTGCTATTATTCGTTTAGCACAATCTGTTGCACGATTAAGATTTAGTAATGAAGTAAATAGTCAAGATGTTGATGAAGCATTAAGATTAATTGATGTTTCACGATCATCTATAGATAAATTCCAAGTAGGATTAAATTTGATTGATCCTACTAATACAAATGATATTGATCAACTGTTAGATGAGTTTGAATCAAAAAGTGAAAATGAATATGATTAAATTAAAATTAAACAAATACTTATTGTTGATTTTTTTGAGGTGGGATACTAGAAATAATTGATACTTTCTTTTTCTTCTGAACTTTACCCTCTTTTCTCTTTTGAATTGTAGTTAATGCCTCTTCATAATCTGATTCTTCTTCTTCTTCAATACTGACATCTTTATTTAAGAATTCATTAATTTTTGATTGATCAATTTCACCAAGAAATGAGTGTGTAAGTAAAGGATTTGACATAATCTTTTAAGTAGTTTTCGTTTTCGTATATATAGTAATACTAATTAATTTTATTATTTTAATATAATATAACTACCATAATAATTATATAATACTTTATAGTATTCAATGATTTAATTTCTAAAAACAAAATAATGTGATGATGAGATTTTACCATGCACCACTCAGAATTATCTAATAAGAGATAAGTTGTGTTGATTATGGTTTCTGAACGTTTTTGTTTTTATTTATTATTTCATAAAGTTATAAGACAAAAAAATTAATTAAATAAAAAAGAAGAACATTAATGAAATCAATAATCAATTAAGTTGAAATTTGGTAGTTCGTATTGATTAGCAGTTCCTCTAAATTCAATTTCTTTTTCAGTAGCACGAGCTCGGTTATGTTTATTAAATCGTTTTCCAGCTAACATAGAAATAAATGAAATAATCCAAATGACTAATCCAACAGTACATGATATAGTAGTTGTAACGAAAGTATAAGTATGAAGATCTTTTGTACACATAAAACTCATAACATTAAAAAGATAACTTTCAAATGGTTCTCCATGTCTTAAACTCTCTAATGGTCCTTGAATACAACTGTTAATAGCATCTATAGTTGAATAATAATCACCATATTCTTTTGCAACCTTTTTATTTGCTGAATCACAATACTGAATACATGAAGTATATGAATATAACGTTGTTGTATTATGAATAAATGGAACATTTCTATAATCTTCATAATTACTAACTGTCAATGAGTCAGCAGGGAATGAGCTACATAATAATTCTTTTCCACAATGTTCTTCTAAAAATAATTTCATTTTAGAAATAGTTTCTGGTAACAATTTATCATTAAATAATCCAATCATTTGAGTAACTGAAGGATCATTTACTGGGAAATAATATAAAACAACACTTTGAGTTTCATAACTATCAGAATTTAATATCTTATCTCCAACTAAACAAGCGTCAGCCACAGCAATATCCATAGGGTATGTTATAGCAGCAGCGATAATAAAAACACTAGCAAGTAGCCATCCAAAAATAGATAATCCACTTGCCATTTGATAATGAAATGTACATGCTGCAAATAATAAAAGACTTAACATAAAAGAAGTAATATAAATGGCAAATAATTCTAATCCTTCTCTAGAACGGTTATATTCTTTTACATAATCACTAAGACTACCAACACCTTTTTCTACTCCATCTTTGATATATGACATCATTTTAATCTTATTATCAAAGTCATCTTTTTGAGACTCAAAAGGCATATCATTAAATGCACTCTGAACAATTCGAATATTTCTATCAACTGAATCAACAGTATTATCACTTGCAGTTCTAATAGCATTTACCTTTGCTCGAATAGATGCGTTATACATTATCAATATAAGTATAAGAATAATAGAAACAATAAAACAACCAATAATAATAATTTGGCACCATTTTACATGAATATATGAATATCCCTCTCCTGCTGCCTTTTTAAATGGTTTTGGACATAAACACCCTTGTGTACCTCGAACCCCTCCTAAACATGGACGTGCCAAATACCACAAAAATGAAATAACAGCAACGGCACATGCCATTACTAAAAACCACCATCCTTCAAGAATTAAAGCATCTTCATATTGGTTATAATTTATTTTAGTTTCATCATATATTTGTGAACTAGATGTTGGAGGAAATGGAACTGCAGCAAATTGGAAATTATCAACAGTTGTTTTTGTCCAATCATTTGAAAAAAATAGTGTTCGTTGATGTTCAGTTTTCATTTTAAAATACTCTCGATTTTCATCAGATAAAGGTGATTTTGCTAAAGAGGCAATAACAAATAATAAGATGATATAAATCATATATTTATAATTTGAGTTCTTTTCATGAGACTTTTTTAATTAAATTGTTTTGTTCAGTAGAAATGACAATTAATTAATAAAATTATTTTATAAAGTATTTTATTAATTTACGATTCATATTATTTCAGTTTAGTAAATTTAAAACCATTTGATTGTTTTTTTTATTAAAATAATATTTATTTATAATAATTAAATAAAATTATTATTTATATCTTTAAAAATATTTAATTTTATAAATAACAAAAAAAAATTAATTATTGTTTTTTATTATTAATTCCTAATTTTTTTTGTTTTAATTTCCAAGTTTGTTTCATTGCATCTTTAAAGAATGATGAATTTATTGGACTACTTTTCTTTGCCATTTTTAATGCCTCTTTATCTCTTTCAATACTATTTTCAAAACGTAATTTTTTAACAAGCAAAGCATCTTTTCTTAATTGTCTCATTTCAGTTTCAATTCTTTTTTTTCTTAATTCTCTTTTTTCTTTTTCTATTTTCGCTTTAATTTTAGATGCTACACGTTCAGCTTCAATGTCTAAAGCTTTACGTATATCCAATTTTTTAACTTTAATAATATTATTTTGTTTACATAATAAATCTAATTCTGAATAAATTTTTTGCATTTCAACTCCTTCATTTACTTTCTTAATTAATTCTTTTTGAATTGTTTTTTCATTCATTTGTGCAAATGTACCAATAATGACAATCAAAAACACCAACAACATTATGATTTTTTAGTTCAACAAAATAAAAGAAATTATTCCTATATTATAAACAATACTCATTTATGAAATTGATTATTTCTTTACTGAATCTTTATTATGTTGAGCTAAATCTTTATACTTTTTTCTTTCATCTTCAGACATTGCCTTCCACATATTACTAAGATATTTCATTATTTCATTCCCTGTATGACCTTCTGCTTTAACTCTATCTCGATTTTCTTTACAAAATAATAAATAAGGATGATACTCTTCTTTTCGTTTTGTAATATCTCCTTTCTTTCTTTTTCCATAAGAACCATCTTCATTTAACAAATGACATTCAATTGATGCAACTTTATAAAATTTTTGCATTTTATCTTCATCTAATTTTGACCATTTAGCTGTCGCTTTGGCTTTTGCTTTTTCAGGTGTTAACATTCGTTCATTAATTAATTTCTTAGTTTTCCAACGAATGTATATAGCTTGTGCTATTTCTATTTTTTCTTGTTCTTGACTTTCTTCTCGTTCTCTTAATGTCATTTTATGATGTTCTTCCTTTTCTTGTATTTGTGACATATCTTTACTTTATTAGATCTTACTTCTTTTACATGAGTTTTTTAACTTCTTTTATGTAAAAATTATTTTTCTTATTTTTAACCCTAAATAGAGGTTTAATTTCTTATTCTTTTTCTCTTTTCTTTTACAAAAATTAATATTATTAAAATGATTTATAAAACAAAAAAGAACTGAAAAGGAGAAAGATTGAACAGTTTTTGAAAGAGTCTAAAAGTAGAAGATTATTTTGATGTGAAGGTGAAAGAACTAATAATAATAGGAGATTTAAAACAGGAAACTAAGAACTGAAAAACCTGTCAATACTCAATTAATTACATATGCCTCTTATTAAAATTAAAGTTGAATGGCAAGGATCAAATAAAGTATTAAACCTTGATAGATCTCATGCAAATTTATATGGAAGATTAATGATGGAACTTGAACAAAAAATTGAAGAAGAATTCTTATTATTTTCAGGTCCATTAATTGTTAGTGATGAGGACTCTCTTGTAGCTGCTATTGAGGATTGTGTTAATGCTCATCAACCTTTCCTTCAATTAGTTGCTCGTCCAAATAAATCAAAGAAATCAACTCCAACAACCCCAGCCAAACCAGTTGTTACATCAACTCCTTCTTCTCAACCACAGCCTAAACCAGTTACTACTCCAGCTAAAGTTACTGAACCACAATCTAAACCAGTCACTGGAGCTAAATTCTGTTCAAATTGTGGAACAAGTATTAATGGAAGTAAGTTCTGTCCAAATTGTGGTGAAAAAATTGCTGAACCAAATCCAACAACTGCTCCAACTACACAAAAGAAAGAAGAAAATAAACAAGAAGAACAAAAGAAAGAAGAAAATAAACAAGAAAAGCCAAAAGAAGATATAAAGAAAGAAGAACCAAAAGAAGAACATTTATGTAAAAATGCTTGTCATCCAATAACTGAAAAAGGAGATAAAGATCATTGTGGAAAATGTGGAAAAGAAGTTTCAAGTGGAATAATGGCACTTGATAGAATATGGCATGAAGAATGTTTTGTTTGTAATGAATGTGGAGAACATTTTGGAGGAGAACATAAATTAATGGAAATTGAAGGAAATCCAGTATGTTCATTATGTTATGTTGCCAATCATGTTCCAAAATGCGAGACATGTAGAAAACCATTAGATGGTCAGTATGTTGTAGTTGATGGAAAGAATTATCATCCACAGTGTTTTGTTTGTACCAATTGTGGTGCACCAATTCAAGGGTCTTACATGATTAAAAATGGCAAAATTGTTTGCAAGAATTGTGCCTAAATCATCGCATTTTTTTTTAGTTTTGTTTTTCATTTTTTTTTTAATTAATAAGAATAAAAGAAATAATAAAAATAATAGTTTAAATATAATAAAATTATTTGAAATAATTAACTAAAGAATAAAACAAAATAAAATATTATATCAATCTTAAGAGCATGGAAGACATCGAAACAGAAACAATTAAATATTTTTATGCTACTAGTGCGTCTATAAGTCCATTTATTGTTGGTGCTCTTTTCCTTAATTTTGTATATTTGTTTTTAAGAATGCCATTTCATTCTTTTATGTTTCATTTACACTTATTATTATTTTGTGGGTGTTTTATATTGAAAATAGCTATTTATTTTGTGCAACCATTTTTAAAATCATATTTATTTTGGACATCACAAACATTGTTATATTGTGGATTGACATATACTATTTATTCTATTGTATATATTTTTTTTACTCAGAGTAATAAAAAGAAATATGTTAATAGTGTTATTTTACCAGGAGGAGTTTTTTATTTTATGTTTGTAGTAATGGTACATTCATTATGGTATAAATGGGCAACAACAATTATGTTAGTATACACTGCATTATTTTGTACGGTGTTAATGGTTGTAATTTTATTATTTATATTTTTTGTAAGATCATTCGGTTCAAAAAGAGTAGTATTATTTGTTGATATTATATTGTTTATTGTAACATTTATTTTATTTATTGATATAATTAGTTGTATTGTATCTACAATTGTTTTATATCCAGGTTGTTTTATTCATCCACTTACTGATTTAATAAATTCATTATTAATAACATCATTAGTTGTTGTTTTGACTGATGGTTTATTATTTTTTAGGGCATTTAGTGGATATAAAGGAATTTTAGTAGATGAAGAAAATACACTTGTTACTACAAAAACTTCAATTGATATTGGATTTCTTCTTCACAGACAGGCAATTAAACAAAATGAACATAGTGTTGTTGGTTCAACTATTTTTCTTGGTAAAACTGTATCATATAAACAAGTCTCATTAGAAGAATTATTAAATCCAAAAACTTTAAATGACGATTTATTAAAATTAAAATCATTACATCATCCTAATATTCAACAAACAGAAGGACTTTCTATAACTAATTTAAATGTATATGTTATTTATAACCATCATTTCTTACCATCAATGGAATCAGTATTTGAAATAAAAGATACATTCAGTGATTATCAAATTATACAAATTATGAAAGGATTAACTAGTGCTTTATTAGAACTTCAAGATGAAGGAATTCTTCATTTTCATTTTTCATTATCAAATATTCTTGTTAATGAATCAATGGATAAAGTGATTATTGTTGATTTTTTACCTTATATGAAATGGTGGTTTACAACAGAAAATGGAGAACTACCCTCAACGTCAATGTTTGGATCTGAGGACTTTATTGCTTCTCATAAACAATATATCATTAATTTAGTTCATTGGATTTTTTATAGAATGATTGTTGGTAAAAAAGCTACAAAAGATATTATTCTTGATCATGTCCCTCAATCTAGTTTATTTTATACTACTTTGAAACGATGGGTTAATGAATCTAGTTTTATTGGAATCAATGCAATGTCAAATGACATTGCTTCACTTAAACATCGTATGCTTGGTGAAGATGAAGAAGTATTAGAACATAGTTTTGAAGTAAAGGAAATGCATCACCCAGAACGGGAAGAATTAGATGAAAACGGTATTATTGTTAATGAATAATTGAACAATTTTTAATACTCAAAAAAATACAATAATAAAATAATAATAATATTATAATAAAAATGTATTTTTATTTCTACTTGAACCAAAAAAAAATTTTTTTTGTAAAAAAAAAGAAAGAAAAGTTCAACTAGAAATCCATTGATAAGAATTGGTTTAATGCAACTAAATAATACTTTTATTAAAATTGAAACTGTTGGTAGTCAGGGAAGTGGAAAAAGTAGTATTATTTATCGCATTATGGTTTGTTTAAAATTCGTTTAAAATAATTTAAAATAGTTATATTTTGTAGAATAAAGAGCCACGTCAAGGAATCACTACAATTGGATGTGAAGTTAATTCAGTAGTTGTAAATTTTGAAAGAAGATTATGGACATGTAAATTATGGGATATAGAAGAACGTTTAAGAGAAGCAAGTTTAGCAAAAGGAGTATCAACACCACCTGATGCATTACTTATTATTATTGATTTAACTCAACCAACATCATTTGAATGGGCAAGAAATTATATTAGTAATAAACTTGGAATAGAAACATTTGGTATGTTAATTGTTGGTATTGGAAATAAATGTAATGACAAAAAGAAAAACGTTTCATCAAAAGAAGTAAGACAATTCTTTCAACAATATCATTTTAAATATTATGAAACCGATGTGATTGATAATGTTGGTATTTCTCAAATGTTTTGTGATACCATTCATTCAATTGTTGAACGAAGAATAGAACAAGAACATGAAATTCATCAAGACAATGAATTACTCAATGAATTTAGTCAATCATTAACATCAGAAGATATAGAAGATTGCAAAGTCGTTTAGATTATATAACAAACAAATAGTATTAAGATGTGTATTAATAATAAAAAATAATTATTGATTTTATTTATTGATTACACTTTTTTTTTTAACGTTATTTAGATTTTATTTAATTTGATTTTAACTTCTTAAATACAATGTTTTTTTTTTAATTAGAGTACAACTTTTGGAGTTGAGAAATAACTTCTTCTACAGTTATTCGTTGACTTGGTTCATCAACCCAACATTTCTGAATAATTTTATATTCCTCATCATCTATTTTATTGGTCTTCATCAATCTTTTTCCATGAGTAACAAAATCAGCTATACTCCATGCAAATGGAAATAAAGGAGTATTATATGGTGTTTTCCAATCTAATATTTCATACATTGTAATAGCAAAAGCAAAAATATCAGCTGGTTTTTTATAACGTCCACTATCTAATATTTCTGGAGCTGTGTATGCAGGTGTTCCAATTCCTTTCGTGAATGTTAAATTTGTTAACAACATATTAACACTTCTTGATGACCCAAAATCTGTCAATTTTGCATTAACTAATAAATTTTCATCTAAAGAAAATAATAGTATATTATCTGGTTTAATATCTCTATGTAAAATACCATTAGAATGAAGGTATTGAATACCATGTGCAGTGTCTAATAAACATTTATATTTAAATTTTTTACTAAAAGTATCAGGTTTGTTTACAACAAGATTATGAAAACTACCATATGGAGACAGTTCAGTAACAAACATAAAAGTTGAACAATTAATAACTGATCCATAGAAATAAACAACGTAATCACTACGAAATTGGTAAAGTAATTGTGTTTCTTTATAGAACTGTTCAGTTTCATTTACGTTTAAAAACCTATCTCTAATTTTTTTAATTGCAACTGGATGTCCTTTATATGATCCTTTATACACAACTCCTGTTGACCCTTCACCAATTTTTTCAAATTGTTTTAAGTCATCTTCATTAATATAACATGAAACTTGAGTATTGAGTAATAGTTTTATATAAGAATATTTTGATTTATGTAATATTATGTTTTTAACATGTATTTTAATAGTAGATTCTTCTGTCAATGTACAAAAAGGAAAGACACAAACTTTAATTTTACACATCTTCTTTGGTTTAAGGTTAACAACATCTGGTTTAAATTTTATTTTAAATTTGTTATTTTTGAATGAAATAAGTTGAATTAAAATTGGATGTTTTCCAGAGTTGCCAATATAAATGGATTGAACAGAAATACTTCTGACAGGAATTGGGTTATCAGTAGAGTTGAAAGTTATTTTACTTAAGTCACATACAATAAAGTCATCTAAACGGTGTTGTAATACTTTTGTTTTAGACATATTTTCTAAAGTATAATTTAACTTGCTTTTCTTTAATATTCTAAATCTCAAAAGAGTCAGAGATATTATAATAGAAATAAGAACACCCAAACAACAGATGGCTCCTATTATAATTAATGTTAAAATCCATAATGGAAGTGAAAAATTAGAACAATAAGTATCATCTATTATAGTATGTCCAAATGAACACTTAGTACAACGAGAGTTTTCTGCTTTAATACAATATGGTATTTTACTGTAATAAATACATCTACCTGAATACCAAACAGTTTCATTAGCACATTTATCACAAGTAAATCTATCATTACATGATATACATGAATCTAAACAATTATCGCAAATATTATTATTCAGATAATAACCGTCATCACATTTAGAACAACCTTTTTCTGTTATTTCTACAGCACAACCTTGGATAGTTGATTTAGGGACACATACCTTATCTCCATTTTTAAAATTAGTTGAGTTACAAGTTAAACAACCATTTGCATTATTACATGTTGAACAAGAAATATCACAATCAATACATGAAACACCATCTCTATAATATCCATTTTTACATTTTACACATTTACCATTAATAGAGTAAAGGGAACATCGTTCAGAAATAATTGAGTCTGTTTCACACATGTGATTTGTTAAATAATATCCAGAATCACAACTAAAACATTTATTTTTCTCTAAAAGGCATGTTTTACAATTAGAATCACATGGTTTACATACTCCTTCAGATGCATAATATGAATTTTCACATCTAAGACAACCTACTTGAGTATTAGTTTCACAGTTTTGAATAGATTTATAACATTGACCATTAAGAAGAACAAAACCAGGTTGACAAATAATACATTCTTTTGTTGAAATAGACCTAATTTGGCAATTTTCAATTTTCTCTTCACAATAACCAATAATATTTGTAGAATAATCATCAGTACAAATACTACATTTTCCATTTTCTTGTTTTTGACAATAAGGAATTCTACAAGTCCCATCTTTTTGAAGAGGAGTTCCATCATCACATCTTTCGCATTTAGTTGCTGAACATTGAGAACATTGGTTTCCAAATTGTTTACATGAAATACATATTCCATTTAATTCATAATACCCATCGTCACATTGAATAATAGAATTTGTTCCAACAACTAATGAATGTTCTGAAATTGAACAACTATTGTCATTTAAAATATAATGAAGATCTCCATTGCATTGATAACATTTTGATTCATAAGATAAAACACAAGGTTCGTTAATGTCATAATCAGTACATATATTATTTAAAACTCTTCCTTTTTCACAATAAACCAAGTGATTATTTGTTGAATGAGATTTATCACTTAACATAACACAAACACCATCTATTGATAATAAATAATCATCAGCACATACAAAACACATTTCATTGTTACACCATTTACAATGAATATCGATACATGGAAGACATGATGTAAAATCAGAATTAGGATAAGTAAAAGAAGGACATTGAATACTAGCTTTTCTAAGACAAATATTTTGATTATTTTTAATAAGACCAAAATGACAAAATGAATCTGAATCAGTAGTTTTATATCCATTAACTGAAAGAAGAAGAATTGGAAAGATAGAATTAATATCTAAAACATAATTAGTAAATAACTCTCCCATATAAATAATAAATGATTCTTTTGTAAATAAAGTAAATGACATTCCACTAACAGAAAAAGTAGAAGTTGTCAATATAGTTTTTTCATAAGAAGGAAAACTTACAGTATCATCTAATAGAATACAATATCCATTTTGGTCATGAGTAATTTGTTGAATAACTAAGTTTGTTGAATTTGATTGAAAAGAAACCATTCCAGGGAAATGAGCGATTTGAGATTGACAAGTAACACTAATAAGATTATTGTTTTCTTCAAAATATAAATTTGTTATGAAATCATTAATTTTTGTTGTAATAGGTACATTTGGAAAATAAAGTTCTTTAACAGAAGTATTAATAGAACAATCAGAACCAAAACATGGACAATCTATTTGAGTAAAAGGATATTCTAATTGATAATCATATGAATTTTTCCAATATGTACCATTAAGTATACAAATAACACGTTTATTAAATATAACTTTTGGACAATATCTAATTCTTTTTTTATTATTAATGAATTTTAAATATTTTGTTTCAATAAAAGTATCAGAAATTGTTGAACTACTTATAATAAATTCAAAACAATAGTCCAATGAATAATCAATCAATATTGAACTAATCATTAATTTAGTGTTATACAATCTCCATAATTCACTATTTTTTAGTGTGGAAATGATAAAATGTGTATTTTCTTGTATATCTAATATACTTTGACTAAGAGAATCGTTTTTAACGCCAATAATAAAAAATGATTCTTCGATAGAAATTGGAGATTTTGTATGAATTACTCATTGATTTAAAATTTCTGTTGATGAATCTTTCATTGAGATAAATGAATTTTGAAATGATTTAAAAGTATCTATGCCAATAAAGGTAGTATCGATTAAAAGAAGCTGAAAATAATCAGATATTGTAACAAATGTAGAATGAATAGAACTATGTTTACTATCGATTATACCTTTATTATTTCCTTCGATGGAATTTAAAGAAACAAAAGAGTCAGAAAGATGTAGTGATGAATTATCATAAATAGACAGAATTGCAAATAATGAAGATGAACTTTTAATATGAAATATACTTGAGTTATAAAGAATAACATCCATCAATGGTTCAGTAGAAATTATTACGTTATTGAATAATAATTGTGAATCATCAAATAATATAATTTGCCCACTTTTTTGTGAAATAAAATAAGAATCTTCTAACAAAATTTTTGTTCTGTTTTTGAGAATAACTTTTGGTGTTGTAAAATAACAGTGTTGTGATATTTCCATAACACTATTATCATTAAGTTGTAGACCTGTAGATGATGTAACTTGACTATTATCTTTCATTATTAATTTTGAATAATTATAAAGACATAACGATTTACTAGTATGCATTTTAGAATTTTCACCAATAATAACTGATGATTTATCAAAAGCGTTAAAATATACTGCATTACTAATGGATGCTTGTTCTTCAAGAAAAATAGTAGAACTATTATAAATTGTAACATTACTTCTAAAACATAATAATTTTCCATTTTGAAGAGTTAATATTGATTTATCATATAATTCTAAATGAATATTGTTAAATAATAAATCTCCATCAGTATTTAAAAAATAAGAATCGAAAAGTATAAATGATGTTAATTGTCTAATTCCTGGAGATTTTAAAGTAAATAATGTTGATTGTGTTAAATTTATTTGAGAAATATAAAAGAATGAATTTTCGAGCATATGAATTGTAGAATTATAACAATTCAATTTACCTGTTGATAAATTTTCAACTACAATTTGAGCGTCTTGAATTGTTAAATTTGAATTAATTAATGTCAATGTTTCTTTAACGGTAAAAAGTTGAGAATTTTGAAGAAGGATATTTGCGTTTATAAGTGTTAATACATTATCAAAAGTTAGTTGACAGTATTTGTGTAATTGAACATTATCGCCACTAAATACTGAATAATCTCCATGTATGAGTACTGTACTATATTCTTCAAATATTAAAATTTCTCCATTATCAAGAGCGCCATATTCAATAGTAAAAGAAAGTGTATCACTAATAAAAATTTTTGGAATGATATTAAATTGTTCAGAACATTTTCTAGAATAAATAAAGTTTTGTTTCACAGAAATTTCACGACAATTTATCGGTTGAATTGGTTCTCCAAATTCGTCTATATATCCATCAAGACAATTTTCTGCTATAGGAATGCACAGTCTCTCAGAGTTAGAATATAAAATAAAAAGTAATAAAAGGGACATCTTGAATGACATTTTATTGTTTAAAATTAGAAGATAGTTCTATTAAAAGAATTCTTAAAAAATCCATAAACTCTTTTTCTGTTGTTATCTTGGACTCCTCAGTTATTTCTATTTTAAATCATTTTATCTCTTTCTCATTGTTCCTCGTTTGTTCTCTATTCCTTTTTAACAGAACAAAACTAGAATTATTTATTATTTCTTCATTTATCAACTAGTTGTCAGAAATAAAAAATACAAATCCATTTTTGTAACTTGTTTTATTTCAACCCAAACTATACTTTTATTATGAATTTATTTTACTTTATTATTTTTTAAATTATCTTATTTACCACTTTTTTTTTTTAATTAATAATGAGATACATAACAATTATAAAATTGAGGAATTATATTAAAAAGAACTTGAAATAGAAAAGACAGTTTATAAAAAGAATAGAAATGGGTGAAGATGCATTGGCATTAAAGATATTAGAATCAATAGGAAAAGGTAATGAGATTTTTTTTAGTGAGAAAGATCTTCAAGGATTTGGAAAAATCACAAATCATAGAATAAATGAATTTAAAAAAAGTCTTCAAATTTTAGAAGATGCTAAAGTAATTCAGAAGATTACAAACCATGATGAAGTTTATTACATTCCTCCAAAAGAAAAAAAATGTTCTCAAGGAGCAACTAGAAAATCTACTTCATCAACAAAAGGTAGGCTTCATGTGTCTGTTACACCATCATGTAAGTATAAATTAAATAGTCAATCAACTATTGATGATTTACCAAAAGATATTAATGAATTAAAGTTATTAAAAGTTGAATTAATTTGTAAGCATAAAAAAACAAAGGAACAACTAAAAGCAATTGAAGCAAAAGCAAAAAGTGCAAAGAAATGTGAAGGAAAAAATCTGGATCAGTTGATTAAAAAAGTTTGTTTATTTTTTTTCTAAATAGAAAAAAATGAGTAATGAATAGTGGAAATCTATATCTCGAGATTTATTAGTTGATATTCAACATAACGAATTGTGCAGAAATGAAGATGGTGAACAGTTTTCAATGGGAGAACTGATTAAACGACTTGACATTGATTCTAGAGTGATTGGTTATGATCCAGAGGCAGATGAATTCATTGATAATTAATTAGTATGTGATTTTTGTGATTTTTTTTTAAAAAAGAACTTTAAAATTTAATTTAATGGAACAGATATCTGAAACCATAGATTTAACTGATGATCACATTGACATTATTGATGTAGATGTACTCAGAGAACCAGTTCAGAGAAGAAGATTTGAATTAAATATTGATCCATTATATATTAAAGAGAGTTACAGACAAAAAGGTTATAGTAGTGATGAAGAATCTGAAGAACAAATAAAAATAGAACATAGGAGAATTGAAGAATTAAAACCAACAAAAGAGTTAGAAGGAATTAGGTGTCCTATTTGTTTTGACCTTACACGAAATGTAATGACAACAAAATGTGGTCATTTATATTGTTCAGATTGTCTTAATATTATTTTTGATACTCCAGGAGTACATTATTGTCCTATATGTAAACAAAAAATAATTAAAAATTCATGTCATCGTATTTTTCTATAATAACATTAAATTAATAGTGAGGGATTACTACACTAATTGACTGAATTTTCATTGGTCTTTTAAAAAAGCTCAAAAATGAAGCATTGTAATAGACAGTATTAATTATTGAACTTAACTTTAATGTAAAAGAGTTTGTAATCCAAAATGCTCCATAAACAGATAAAAGTAATGAAGTGTTATAATGTAATTTACTATGTGTAACATCATTCATTAATGGAAATTGTTGTTTTGGATAAATTAATTTTGTTTTGTCAGGATCAAGAATAAATATATTATCTACTTTAAGATTAAGAATAGATGGTTGATTATGAAAGCTAATTCCTATAACTTTTCTATTTTCCAAAAGGCAAAAGAGAATAATATCTTGTTTAAATTGAATGACTGAATTTAATTGTCTCTGACTCAATTCGTCTTTATGTGAATAATAAATTACTTCAAATGAATTTGTTTGAAACAATGCCTCTAATCTAATTCTTTTAAAATCACAATAAAATGGTAAATCAAAATCATCTATCTGATCTTCTTTTATTCTTTGTTTAAAAGAACATTCTCTATTAGAATTCTTCTTAATAGATGTTGTTAGATTTTTATTCTTATCTATTTTTTGACATCTCTTATCTTCTTGGTGTGTTATTGTCCTTTCATTATTTGTAATAATTTTTGAAGGAATCCCATTTAATTTTATATTGAAGAAATAATTTCTTTTTTGTTCTGTAACTTCACAATTACCCATTGATATTTAAGATATTTCTTCATACCCTTTAAATAACAAATAATTAACTTCTCACATAGTTAAAAATATCACTTTTTAACCACCGACAACTAATTCTTCATCATTATTAGAAAGAGATATTCTTTTTTGACTTATCAAAATTTCCATAATATTATTAACTAAAAAGTATTTTAAAACAAATGAATAAATTACTTAATTTCACGTGAATGAACTTGGGAAACATGTTTTTGGAGTTTACTAGAATTACCCATATCTGTTCCACAAAAAGGACAAGCAAAAGTTGGTTCTTCTTCTGTACAGAAATGTTTATTCACGTGACTCTCTATTTGGTTAATAGGAAATTTCTTAGAACAAACAGGACATTCTGATAACTCATTACTTGGTTGTTTAGTTTCACTAGGCTTTGTTTCAACTGAACTTGGGGTGGTTATTGGTTTAACTTCAATTGGTGTTATTATTGGTTTAATTTCCATTTGTTTTGGTGTTATTATTGGTTTAATTTCCATTTGTTTTGGTGTTATTATTGGTTTAATTTCAGTTGGATTTGTTTCTACTTGTTTAACTTCAACTGGACTTGGAGTTATTGGTTTAATTTCAACTGGACTTGGAGTTATTGGTTTAATTTCAACTGGATTTGTTTCTACTGGTTTAGTTTCAACTTGTTTTGAACTTATTGGTTTAATTTCAATATTTTTTGAATCAACAGGTAATTTTTCTGTAGCAGGAGTTGTAGACAATGAAGATGAAACTATTGGTTGGGGATGAGAAGTACTTGTTTGATTAATACTTGTTGATTTATTAATTACTGGAGGAATCTGAATTCCATTATTCAAAGATTTAATATTATTATCTCCTCTGTTGATGTGTTCAACAATATGAGAAATTACTGAATCAATATCTATTAATTCTTGACAAATTAAACACTTAATTGTATGAGGTATATTGTTAATTGAAATACCATTTAATTTTTGACTTTCGAGTTCTAGATGTTTTTGTTTCTCTTCAACAATATCTTTATTATTAAGAATTTTTTCATTTAGACTTTTTATCTGTTCAATTTCCTTTCCTTTATTTTCATTATCAACTTTTATTTGGCTAAGCTCTTTAGTTTTTATTTCAAGTTGTTCTTGCAATTGTTTAATCTTTTTTTCTTTCTGAATATCTTCTTCATTTAACTTATTAACTAAGTCTCTAATCTCGGTAACTTCTTTTGATAATATCATTACACTTTTAAGAATTACGTTTTGGTTTGTTATTTCTTTTTCAAGACTAACAATTTTTTCTTGCATTTCCAGGTTCTTTCTTTGACTCTCAGCCCATTGTGTATCAAAGTAATCAAGCTTTCTTTGGAGCTCGTCAAATACAAGAACTATTCCATCGTCTTTTAGTTGAACATTTATTAACTTTGATGTCATTGATGTTTATTAATTTTTTAGATAATTTCTTTTTATGTTGTTCACTTTTCTTGTTTCAATTCCTCATTTTAAATCAAAATAAAATCAAGAATAAAAAAATCCCGATTATTTTCAATTTTTTCCTTAAACGTAATACCATTTCTAAACATCATCAATAAAGTCATGATAAAAACAAATGATGAATAAATAATGTTATTATAGTAAAAAACAAAATTGATAATTTTTATGACAATATTCTAAAAATAGAAATTTATTTTTAAAATGAGAACAAGAACAAAAACAAAAAAAGAAAAACAATTTAAAGAGAATATGTAATAAAAAATAAGAAAGATGGTTAAGAAGAAGAACGAAGAGTAGTGAACAAAATTAGTTGTATAACCAAAAATATTTTTGATAATAAAAAATTAATAACGAAAAACCGTTTATTAATCACGTATAAAACAAATAAATTTTTTTTTTACGTCCATATCTGTAAAATTAAAAATCAGATCTTTTTATTGTTAAATGCAAAGCATCGAACAATATCTTTTACCAGACGTATCTCTTAGTTCTAAAGAATTAGCTATTGTTACTCAATTAAATACATTAATTAGTGATCCATCAAGTCGAGAGAATGGATTATCTTTTATATTAAAAAGAATATCACAACCAATGTTCCGAGAATTTTTATTGAGGGTTCATCCACAATTATATACACATCTTTTAAAAAGTTCAAATGATGATTTTGGAACATTACAAGTTTCTTTATTTATTGTACATGCATTATCAATATATCCTTATTTCATTAATTTATTAGTAAAGTATGACATAACTGTTTTTGAAGATTTAAAAAGTTTATTACAATCAAGAGATGATCCAAGTATTACTGCCCATACATTAGAAATTGTATTAAATGCTTCTACAAGTATTGAAGATAAAACATTATTACAACCTCTTATTGACCCTTTACTTTCTTTTTTTAGAGGAAATGTACAACATCGAAATTTAGCAGGAAAGTGTTTATGTATATTATTAACTTGTTCAGCAAATCAAATCAGTTTCGTAAAACAAGAAGGTATTTATGCAATTCTTAATATACTTTATTCTCATGTTTATGATGAACAATTACTCGCTTCTGCAATGCTTCTTCAATTAATTAAAACACCAAATAAAGAATTAGCTGTAAAACTTCGTAAAATAGTTATTTTAAATAATGTTTTACAACTTATTAAACCTCTTATATCAACTGGTGGTCAATTAACAATTCGTGTATGGCAAATTAGTGCATTATTAACACTAGCAACAGGATATGAAAAAAGATTTATTCAATCAGGTATCTTTTTTGATGCAGTAGAATTAATTGGAGATCAAAATGATAAAATAAAAGAAACATTACCATGTGCACTAACTGTTATACTTGCTGTAACAATTGACTCAAATCTTCTTGATGTATGTCGTGGATTTTCATTAGCAGATAGATTAAGAAATTGTATTGAACATTTAAATCAATATGATCCATCATTAAGATTAGTAATATTAAATATTATTAGAAATCTTGCTGTTGATGAAGGATTAAGAGAAGAACTTCAAACAGTTAAAATAGCAAATTATTTGAAGACAAGTTTAAATGATAATAATTCATTAGAAAAAGCACGTATAGAAATATTAACACTATTAAAAGAAAATATAGAACCAACATCAGGAATTACTATCGGAAGAGATTCAGTTGAAGTAAAACGATTTGCTGATATGAATATGAAAAAAACACAAGCAAAACAAATTGTAGAAGAAATTGTTACGACTGAACAAGAATATTGTGAACATCTTAAATGTATGGTAGAAGAAATAAAACCAAATTTTCAATCAGTTTTAACTGAAAAAGAAATTTATGACATTTTCTCTAATATTGAAGATATTTCAAATTATCAACAAAAATTTCTTAAAGTATTAGAAGAAAGATGGGAACAACAAAAAGAAAGAGAGTGGGTTGAAATAGCCGATTTATTTGAAAGTTATTTTTGTGAAGAAATGAAAGAAATTTATAAAGAATATATGACTCGTTGTAATCAAGCAAATGATTATTATCAAAAATTAAAAAAAGAATCAAAAAAAGTAAGAAAAGTAGCATTAGATTTAGGTATTAAAAGAATTTATATACCAACATTTTTAATTTACCCAATTCAAAGATTACCAAGATATTTATTATTATTAGAAACTTTATCAAAAAATGTACCAGAAAATTATGAAGAACATAATAATTTATTATTAGTTAAAGATAGAGCAAATAAAATAGTTAATTGGCTTAATGAAGAAATTAGAAAATATGAAAATGAAGTTTCTTTGAAACAATGGACAAATAAACTTGAATTATCACCTGTGGATAATAGAATATTTCTTGCTGAATTTCATCAAGTAATGGTTAAAGCAAGTAAAATGGTTAATGTGTGTAGTATTATTCTTTTTAATGACATTGTTATCTTCTTAAAAAGAAAGAAAAATAAAGACAAAATTTTAAATCAAATTAATTTGATTGATTTAAAAGTTTTTGAAGTAGAAGATGAAAAAACTACTTTTATGTTAGTTTTTCCTTCTCCAACAAATAATAGTGAAGATCAAAGATATATGCTTTATCTTTCTAATGATGAAGAAATGAAAGTTATCTTTTCTACACTTAAAAAAGCTGTTAACTTAGCAAAGACTCAAAAGAAAAATATGATTTCACGAAGTGTATCATTGATTTGAAACATTGTATTGATTTTATTTTTTCCATTCATTTTATTCTTCTTATTTTTAAAAGACAAATAGAAATTAATTATTAAATAATATTATTAATATAGTATTGAAAACTATTAAAAACCCTTGAAATTTTTTCTTTCTTAACAAAAAAGATATACAAGAACTTAGTTATTTAATTTAATGTCAAGTGAACAAGACAAAGAAAGAAGTTTAAAAGATTATTGGTATCCAAAAGAAATTGGAGAACAAAATGAAATTTTACCATCATTAAAAGCTAATGTTAATAGAGGATCAGCTTTAACTAGAGGAATTGACTTTACAGTAACTAGTATTTTATATTCAATTCCAATAATAATTCTTTATATAAGTTATAAGACATGGTATAGTTTCCTTGATGTTAGTAATGGAATTTTTGTAGAAAGTAATAAATGTGTTCTTATTGTTGGATTTGTAATTATTCTTGGATTAATTGCAGGAGGAGTTTATTATTGGGCTACAAGAAGAAGACAAGTTCTTTTAGTTGATTTTGCTGTAGCATGGCCAGATGATAATCTTAAAATTACAGCAGATGGAGTAAAAGATATTATTGTTAAATGTGGATTATTTGAACAACAATATATTGACTTCCAAACTAAACTTCTTTATAGAACAGGACTTGGAAATGAAACATATTTACCAAGACCATTCCATGAATATCCATTTAAAACAACTATGGCATTATCACGTGAAGAATGTGCTATTGTTATGAAAAATTGTTGTGATCAATTATTTGCACAAACAGGAATTGATCCAAGTAAAGACATTGATATTGTTATTTGTAATTGTTCATTATTTAATCCAACACCATCAATTTCAGCTATGTTAATGAATATGTATAAATTAAAACAAACATGTAAAAATTATAATTTAGCAGGTATGGGATGTTCAGCTGGACTTGTTTCTATTGATTTAGCAAGAGACCTTCTTAATGTATA